ATGTAGTCTCTCACTGCCTCCTCCCTTGCATTTTGGGCTTCCTCCCTAGCATGGATTGCATCATCGACGTACCACTTAATTTGGCCCTCAATGAACTTGTATGCATCTTGGGCCCCTGCTAGCTCCCTGTTAGCCTTCTCCAAGGCTTCAGCTGTCACCTTCTGGTGGTCATTGGAAACCTCCACCTTCTTAGTCAAGGAGGCAACCTCACACTGGGACTCATGTACCTCCTTCTTCAATGCCTCTATTTGAGCCAAGGCAGACTCCAGCTTTGCCGATTCTTCAACTTTCTGGGCCCTAGCTTCTTCAGCCTCGTCCCTAGCTGCCTTCAGCTCCTCTGCAAGGGAGGTAGCCTTCCTCTCAGAGGACTGGGTCCTCGTCTGAAAGTCAGTAAGGGCCTCCATGCACTCCAGTGCGAGACCAAAGGTCCTAACACTTTGACTCACAAGAGCCCTTGTTAAGTCCGTGGCATCACAGGTGGAGGCGTGTAGCTGCCACCGATCCATCCAGAATTTATAAAAACTTTTAGTAGCGCTTCGGATCTCAGGTAGCAGGGCCTCCACCAAAGCTGGGGCCAGAGACTCCTCCCTGTCGGCAAGGAAGCTCGGAGACTTCCCTTGTACTCGAACAGGTTTCTGTTTGGCAGCCTCCACCTTGGCCACCTCAGCTTGCCTCCTTATAGCCTCCTCCCTCACCTCATCAGCCTTGGCACGCCTTTCCATTTCAATCTTAACCGCTTTCGAGGCGGCTGCCAGTAGCTTCGGCGGTCCAGCTTCTTTGCCTTGGGACACAGAACTCCCAAATTTGCTATACGAGCTGGAGATGTGCACCAGCTTCCTCTTCTTTGGCTCCTCAGGGACTTTCTCCTTCCCCCGAGGCTCCTTCGACTTTTTTGGCCTCTGGGGGGGTCCTCTCTTTGGAAGCCCTTGATGTGCTGTCCTTGGAGAGACGCTCCACTCTGCCTCAGACCTCCTTGACTCCAGTTGACCCCGACTTTAGGGGCCTCGCCTTCACAGTAGAGGTTGCCTTAAGTATGGACGCCATGTCAGGAGCTGGGTACTCCCTCCTCTTAAACTTGTCTGCAAAATACAGCTTGTTAGTATCAAAATGAAAACATGAAAATATACAAGTGTGGGAGTTTCGTACCCTTGGAGGCCATTAGCTCAAATCGAGGAAATAGCGACTTCTATCGATAAGGTGGTCGAAGTGGCGAAACTTCATAGGTCTCTTGTAAATGTCCTCTATCACCTCAAACTCCTCCTTGCTCAGCTCGAACTTCGTACTACTATCTGCAAAGGACGCTTCAACAGTTAGAAAAATAAAAATTTTAATACAGATTACAAACTTGGGTTGGGAGACTCACGAGTTTCGTAGTACTGGGTCGGTACTATGCAAGCCAGGGCTTTGTCCCACTTCACCGCCTGCCGCCTGCCTCGCACCCAGAACCACGACTCCTTCCACCCCTTGATGGAAGAAGGCAGTCCCACCACAAACGATGCATAAGCCTCCCAAGGACTTAGGTAATACTACCCCTTCGACTCCTTCCCTATTACCCTAGGCTGGAACAGGGTCATGAAGACGCGGAGAGACAAGTCCTCCCCAAGTGATACTTCCTTCCACAGGAAGTACGAGCCGACCAACTGACTCCACCTGTTTGGCAGAACCTGAGTCGACGACAGCATGAAGTTTCTCAGCATCACCCTAAAGAAGGGGTGCAGAGAAAGACACATACCTGCCTTAAACAGGTATTCACTCACCGCCACACAACCGGGCCTCAGATAATAGGCCCGCTCATGGGCTTCGAGAACTAACATTTCCACATAGTGAGGCACACAGTACCTCTCCCTAATCTCCCCCAGCCTCTTCCCTGTCATATTTGAAGGCACCCTGGTCGCCCCCCACTCTTCGCTATAGTCCACTGGCTCCTCGGTCATAGCATACCTATCCACCTCAGAATCCCCCCCCAAAACTGACCCCATGGCCTAATGACGCTACAGTGACCAACTCCCTACCTGAAGTGGACTCCATCTCAGAAATAACTAAGAACGCAGTAAAAGGAGGATTTTCTGTGAAAAATACCTACTGAAAAACTAAACAAACAGAGTGTGCCGGAAAAGCAGTGAACGGACTCGCCTCAACCCCGGAATGTTTAAGTTCTAAAGAGAAGAAATCAGATTGCAAGTGCTGGAAAATCCGGAAAAAGAGAGTTCTCTCGCCTTTTATAAAGGGCCAGGAAGAACCCCCACCGTCAGATCGAGACTCATTCAATCTGAACCCTTCATTTTAAATCAAATCCGAGGCGTAGAATTCAAACGGCTTTCCAAACCTACGCATAAGATTTAAGCGTGTCTCCCACACACCTCAGCCAACGTGTCTGCTTCTAAAAGCTCCAATTGTTCTAATAATTACGATTTTAATTCGGCGGCAGCAGGCGCCTTGGAAGTCGCAACGGTTCAACCACCTTTCCTCGAAAACATGAGCAAAACATCAAATCATTGGCACAACTGCCAAAGAACAATTATTGGCAATGAACCTCGGCTTCATCTACAACATTCATCCATCAAGCCTCGCAGGTTCGGTTTCCCAACCACCTCGGCTTCATCTACAACATTCAGCCATCAAGCCTCGTAGGTTCGATTTCCCAACCACCTCGACTTCATCTACAACATTCAGCCATCAAGTCTCGCAGGTTCGGTTCCCCAACCACCTCGGCTTTATCTTCAACATTCAGCTATCAAGCCTCGCAAGTTCGGTTCCCCAACCACACACTTCTCGCAACCATCTTCAACACTTCTCGCAAGCCTCACACATTCAATTCATGCCACCACCTCAGCTTCTTCATCACTCACCCGCAACAATTCATTTCTAACTCCAACCATGATATAATTATCTATACTTGGACTTGGAGGACTATTATTTATGGTTCAAAAATTCTTTCAATTTTTACCCAACCCACTGGCTGTACTTCATTAAAGTCCACGCATTACATAAATGACTATACTTGGACTTGCGGGACTATTGTTACGTGTTGTCATACTTGGCCAACCTACTTGGGCCTATGGCCCACTCAATTTGAACCACGTGGTGCTCTAGCCGAGGTGGTTTGTATGACCGAGGCCCATATGCAGAGGCCTGTGAAGATAGCCGAAGCCCTAAAGCGGAAGTATTACATGAGTGGAAGAATCCCCGAATCCGAAGCCGAAACAGAAGCCTCCGAACCATGAAGGAACGTCTTCCGTGATCACTTCTCCCAAGAGATCTTCTACATAAAGATCTTGTTAGAATGATTGATGGAACGTTTGTCATAAGTGTATATGTCAAGTCTTGTCATTAGCATAGGGGTTCTGCATAAGCAATAAATGTGCAGTAAGTTAGCAAGTCAAGGATGATGCCTAGGATTGGATATTTGAATTAAAGAGATGAGGCCACGTGCCACCTCATCCAATGGCTGCCATTTCACATGTACCACTATAAATACTTTCCTTGTGTAATATTGAAGGACTAATGCAAGAATCAATACAAGAAACCACACTTTACTCTCTCGTTCATATTACTTTACAACACAATACAAGTTCATACATAATTACATGCACATTCATGAGCACCGATTGGTAATTATTGTACAATCGGATTACGAACATCCCGTCGGATTCCAAACGTTCTCATCCCGCGTCATTGAGCTACTCCCACGCCCCTGATCCTTTCGTCCTAGACCGTCCACGTGTCTTAGCATGTAGGACCTTCGCTTACTTGTGCGCAGGTGGGGTTCGGTATCTGTTGAGAACATTTTTTGGGGTCAACAGAAGCCAAAACATGTAGTGTTTTATTCACACCTCATTAATATAATGTTGAAATAAAAAAAGTTAGGAACATGAGTGTGACAATACGTAAAAATTATGAATCTTCGTATAATTAAAATGTGATACGGATATACTTAGCACTAACCAATAAAATTAGAACATTCTATTTTGCTCTTATTTTATTCCATAACTACATAAAAACACTGTTTAGTTTTATATGTAGAATTCTTATTCATATTCGAATCAAATCGTGCATATCGATAATATTGGACAAATTCTTTAGTTGTTTCTATGGTTTTCACTAAAAAAGTATTTAATTATAGTAATCTTTCAGGAATATTATATTATTTCCGTTAATGGAGGAGGCATATTCCAACATGCAAAATGCTTTTTATTTTAAAAAGTCACCTCTTAAAATTCTAACAAACTCTTTAGTTATATTTAAGAATAGATAAAAAATGGATAAATTTTAGTTTATGTATGACTCGTGTTTATAAATAATTATAAATACCTCATTTTTCATTCACACATAACACATATTGAAAGAACAAAAAAATATACTCATTATTTATTACTTATCTCTATCTATTTATAATTTAAAACATTTACTAATACTTTCCTAACATACTTAGCCCTTGTTCGAGCTCCACTTTGGAGGAAAAATGTATTTTTGAATAGTGTATTGATGGAAAATATATACTTGAAGATAAGAAATTTTTTTGATTTGCATGTAATATTATTTCATTAAAAAATGTGTGTTCAAAATGATATTAAAATACTGTTTAAAATTGTATTTTTTCCCCCAAGGAATGAGACTCAAACAAGGGCTTAATTCTATCCTTCCACAGTGAAATCCGACAAAAAAAAATCCCACTCAAATGATCAACCTCTGTATTCTATCATATAATATCATAGAAAAAGTTCCCACTAAACCAAAAAAGGGGTATCTCTATTAAGTGAATCCTTCCAGTCCACTTGCTAGGCCATCTTCAAAACTAGCCCACTTCTTTTACCTTTTGAATTTCAGCCCTAATTGTCAGCCCATTCACAATTTTTTCTTAGGAAAATTACATAATTCCAGATGTTTAAAGATTACAATTCAAATATCAAGGTTGAAGTTTTACTATTCATAAATCAGGTATCAATATAATAATTAAATATTAAATATTCTCCCAAATTATTCCAAACCTTAATCATTTTTTTCCTAACCATTTCTCTCTTTACCATTTCTTCTCTCTCAGTCTCTCCCATCTCTCCATCACAATCGTCGTCGAAAATTCCTGATTCCTCCAAGGCACACTCAATTCTCAAGCAATGGCACTAAGAGAGAGAGAAGAGATCCGTGGGTGAGTGAAGATGGTGGCCCATCAAAGGTCACTCTCCAGACCTCCATGGCTTCCTTCACAGTTGAGGTGACTACTTTCTTCACACAAATCCATCTGTATTAGTACATTTTTCATGCTCTACTGTTATATTTTTTTTCCTAATTGATGAAACAAAAATTCATGAAAATATGGTAGATGTACTACGACTATGCACCCAAGACTTGCAAGAACTTCATAGAGTTGGCTCGCAGAGGCTATTACGATAACGTCAAATTCCACAGAATCATTAAGATCTCTTTGTTTGTATAGCTAATCGCTATTCATATTTGTATATGTAAACATTTCTAATTTTGAACTGATAATTTTTATGTGATATTGGAGTTCAGGATTTTATATTGCAAGGTGGGGATCCAACTAGGATTGGCAGGGGTGGCAAATCAATTTATGGGTATTTTTTTTAATAAAATGTATTTTTTAATTTTAGAGTGTGCCTTGCAATTGGTTATTTTGAAATTAATGTTTTCTTTTGGTTCCAAATACTTCTCATTTATGTAGGATTTTTATAGATCACCCTTTTATGGTGTGGTGATGGTGGTGCAGTGAATCTAGGTAGGACGACGGTGTTGGTGATGGTAGCGACGGTGCTTACATTGGCAGGGGTGATTGTGGTTGTGGTGTTTTGGAGATGAATGGCTGGTGACGGTGTTGATGGCGTGGTTGAATTGTTGGTGGTGTAGGTGCTAGCGCGATGTTGCTACAATGATGGTAAGTCGGTGCTTGGTTTCAATGGTGTTGGTAGTATTTGTGTCCAATTATATATGTTGTTCGGTTGGTGCCATCATGGTGGCAATTTTGGTGGTGTGTGTTGGTTTGTTTTTGTCGGGAGGGGATGGCAGCGGCGGCGACGATTGTGATGGTGTTGTGGCCGGGATAGTGTTTGTGACCAGGTATTATGGTGGATCGGGATTGGGTGTTTGGCGTCTGTGACCAACTATTTGGTCCTCTGTGACTGTATTAATCCTTGACTTTAAGATTCTATCATTTTGTAACTAAAAAAGTAATCTGTGAATATCAAATTTAAAAATATGTGACATGTGACTTATAATTTTTTTAATTTGTGACCATTTGTAACCTATAATTTTTTTTATCTGTGAATTCGAAATAATCTGTGACGTATCAAAATTTTGATTTCTGAGCTCGAAAAAATCTGTGACAATTAATTTAATGATATGTGACCAGCAAATAAATATGTGACTTTATTATCATTATTTAATAAATATTTTTAATTAATTAGTTAAAACCAGATTTTTGCATTAATGAAACTTGTAACCTGAATTTTGAATTATGCATAGTTAAAAACATGATTTGTGAACTCTTCCCTTTTTTCTTTCTGCTTGTTACTTGTTGTCTTCATCTTCTCCTGTCTGTTTGGAGATGGCGTTCCAGGTTCAGAAACGTCCTGTAGAGAAGAAACTGAGACTTCAACATCTCCTCCTCTTCTTTGGTTGTGCCTCTATGTTGCAGTCCCAGACCTTCAAGATTTCTTTTAATGGCTGCCTTCGGATTAATCAGTAACGCCACATCTTTCGGAATTGCCTCCAGTGATTGTGTCGTCTTGGCCATACTATTGAGTTAAGTACTCCACTGCTCTTTCCAGTCCAGGTTAGCATTGAAGTTCCGTTTTCAATTCCTTCAGCTTCTTCTCTATTGCTTCTACTCTGACTTCTATCTTCTTCTCGGCCATTAGATCGAATGTGCTCTGATACCACTTTGATATAACTTCGCAAGAAGAAAATAAGAATAGAGAATATCGAGAATATTGATTGTATTGCATAAGAACAATTACAATAGATGAACTTATAAAACTTGGTCACACTCAATATTTGCCTACTCTACTGAGCCTCCCTCCCCTCTTATTTGTAGCAATTATTCCCTAACTACTTTTCCCCCCATTTGCCATGTAATTGCTGTTATTCCCCCTTCTTCTAGTTGCTTCTCACTCCTTGTTTCATCTAGAATGAGCGAGGTGGAGGGAGCCTATTTCTTGTTTGGTGTGCAACGAGGGTGTCTTGGTCACTCACCAGACACCATAAATGCCTGGCATGTAGTGTTTGATTGGAAGTATCAACAATGACGGACGTAGACATTTTAAATTAGGGGCAACAATCAAACTTGCAAAAAAGTTGTGGCCAATTTGCCAACCATAGGCTCGAATGTAGTTACTCCACATTAATGTATTGAAATTCTCAATTATCTTTTTTTAAATCTATCATTCTCATGGCTTGACAATTGTGGCAATTCAGACTCATATTTTATGCTACTGTAAATTATGTATTTCTGGATTAATTCCTAGTGAAAACAAATATAATAGCTCGTGGATCGATAATTTGAGAGAAGAAGAGATATATTACAAGGTTGTTGAATAAAGTTGGCTGCCGATGTGTTTAATTTATTTTCCTTAAAAGAAATAAAACTCAATTTTGATTGTTGGTGGATCACGCGACCCAACATGCCCCCATTATGCATCCGCCATTGAGTATCAAGGCCTACATTACAAAAGTATTAACCAACATATAAAGATTTGACCTAAATTTTACATAAAATTTGTGGACATTCTTTTTAGTTTTAGAAATTTCTCTTAATAGAGATAATTGATTTTACACTACATGTTTGGTTGCGTAGAATGAGTTGTGTAGCACCCACAAATGGAAGCCACAAATTCCTTGATATAGAGCCTCAGGGATCTAACTAGAAAATAGGAACCTCTGGTCAGACAAAACAGATGAATACACACTGATTTCCTCTCCGTTTTTCCACAACAAGAGCACAGTTGCCAGCCAATGTTTGGCCTACAACCATAAAATCTCAAGGTGGTATACATCGATACGTTGGTGGAGATCGCGTCCAGTTAGAGACGAGCATGTTCTTGCGAGGAGTCTGCCATTCCAGTGATGATGGAAACACTCAAGCTTGAAATCATATTGTTCGGCTAATTTGCTTAACCTATTGTGATTCCGAATTTATTTTTGAGAAAACAAAAAAATATAATTCAAGCTCACCCAACTTCAATTTGGTGCCTTTTCATCACTTTATTCACTATCTAACAGCTTTTCTTCTATCTAATTTTCCACTGCTTAAAGAAATTTGAAAACCTAATTTTTCCTTAATTTGTTTGATTTTAAGCTTTAAATCATGCTCACTTTTATTAAGATGATGTATTCATGTTTGACATGACATATGTTGAATAAAGACACTTGTCAAACATGTTCAGCATGCCATATTATAAGCTCTATCTTTTATATTTTTAAAATTTTTGGACACTTGTGATGTACTGTAAGTAATTAACATGTCAGTTGTCTGACTAAGGCTCTCGTTTGGTTGTAATTTTTCACTCCAAAAAATTAAATTTTTATCGTTATTTCACTATTTCAGCCGTCATTTTTTTCTTCTTCATTCGCACGTAAGACTCACTTTTCTCTCTAACAATCAAAAAATCAATTCTCATAATCACTATCGAACAAGCACTAAGTTCAACTGATGGTTAGCGAGAAGTGAGTCTCATAATCACTATCGAACAGGCGCTAAGCTCAACTGATGGATGAGAGATAAGTTTATGAATGTATACTTTTTTGAAATAAAGTTAATGTGAATATGAAACATCAAAGGGTAATTAGCACAAAACGTCCCTACCTTTCATGATTTTTTGTGGAAAACGTCCATACCTTTCGTTTTTTGGTACATTTCATCCCTACCTTTACATTTTCTTATACAAAACATCATTTTCATCATTTTGCTTAATAAAAAGCTATAAAATGACTAATATACCTGATATGTGTGTTTTTGCACACTTATTTAGGTCACAAATATGACGTAATAACGAGCAAAATGATTGAATTGTGACTTAATCTCGTGTATTTGTGAATTGTAGGGAACAACGATGAACATGACGCGAAAAATGATTAAAATGACTCAAAGTGAAAGTTCAGGGACCAAGGTGTAATCATCTAAAAGTTGACCCGATGAACAAATTGAGAAATTGATTAAGCCAATTGTCAATTGACGATATCTTTGGATGATTGAATGGAAAGAATGAAGAAAAGATGCCAAGAAGTGAAGGATTCAAGTAGGAGGACCAAAATGAATATTTTTCATAGTTGGTAGCACTATGTGACTGTGCTACTCTCTATGCAGTCGCATAGAGGCATACCGAAACTAAATGGCCACAACATTTTTACTCTATGCGACTGCATAAAGCAATTCCCGGGTAAAATTGCAGTTTCCTTTTTCTGCCGAAACTCTTATGGAAACAATATTTTTAGAGTCCTATATAAACAAAAAATCGACCAGAACGTAGGGGACGCCGTTTTGACAAGTTTTTTGAGAGATTTTGAAAGAAAAATGAGAAGAGAACAAGAGGATAACATCGTACCAAGTGAAGATTTGATTGAAAATTGATTTGGGTGATGACGTTTCTTTAAATATTTTTATGTTTTCTTCTTTTTAGCATGTTAGGCTAGATTTATCATTGCTAGGAGATCGATGAACCTTGTAATATTACGTTTGATTTTTTATTTGGATTTTTTGACGTACTTAAATGCAAGTTCCGGAATTGATTGATTTATTATGTTTTTATTTTCATATGATTATTGTGCACGTAATTATATGATTGTGGTGGATTGTTTTATGCATTCGAAAGAAAAAAATAGGTTCCACATAGTATAAATCATCATAGGGTCTGATAGAGGATAGAAATATACCTCTATGCCTTGTGTGAATTATTGGATATTCATGAATTTATAATGCATTTCGGTATATTGGTATTCGTCATAGAAATATAGTCAAATCATATATTGGGATAGGTTTGACATTGTTCAAGAGAGATTGCTAAATTAAAATAGGAATATTGATTCATTTTTAGTGGAATTGTATGTCAAATTTGCATAATTGAAAATTGAACAGGTATTGCTTGGGGATTCGTGATCCTAGTGTGTTAGTATATTCATTAATTCCATAAATTCAAGTTAAATTGCATCCAAGTTATTTTGCATTTAGTATAATTTTTCATTCATAATTCTATCAAAGTTTACATCTTTTTAGTTAAAGTACAAAGCATCAATTTTATTTTCGTATTTCGATTAAGTTCATAATAGGTTAATTTGAACTAATTCAATCTTTGTGGGATCGATACTTGGACTCATAGTCCATTTTACTACTTGTTAACGAACAGTACACTTCCGGTGGATTTTAAATCGAAACAAATAATTTCGTGAACAATACCCTTCTATTTAAATAAAAAAAATAAAGAATTAAATGCAATCGTAGTTCCAAATAAAAAAATAAAAAATTCTCATCTCTACCTCCTCTTTTGAACTTTTTAAAAAATTGGAACTATGATTGCAATTTGTTCTTTTTTTTTTTTTAATTTAAATAGAATGGTATATTTGTCATTTTATAAATTTTTATTGAGAAAAATGATGAAAAAGATGTTTTCCACAAGAAAATGTAAAGATATGGATGAAATGGGCCAAAAAACGAAAGGTATGAACGTTTTTCATAAAAATTATGAAAAGTAAAAACGTTTTGTACTAATTACCCAAACATCAAATACCATGTACCTAAGAAGCGCTAGAGAAGCCGAATAATATGATTGGATATTAGGATCCTAACTTTGAATTTGGGCCTTAGATCCGACCCGTTTATCTGTACCGGTGTGAGAGCTTAGAAAATCAGTCGATTACTCCAACTACTGACTCACTACCAACCAAGTTCTTGCGCGAATTACATTTTCTGATATCAATTTTGCAAAAACCCATCAAATCTAACGCAGAAGGTTTTTGGCTGAAATGACGACCATTTCAACTGCCGCAGTTGCTTCAAAACTAAACCATACACCTACTACGAGATTTACCACTGTGTTCTCTTCATCCAGCTCACTGTTCTTTGGTGATCATATCTCTAACCAGGCCGGTCTTCGCCTGGTTTTGGATCGGCCCAGAAGAGCCCGTACGAGTGGGAAAAGAGGGCTATCGTGTAACTGTCTTTTTGGGCTCGGAGTGCCGGAGCTGGTGGTAATTGCCGGCGTCGTTGCGCTGGTTTTCGGGCCCAAGAAGTTGCCAGAAGTTGGCCGGAGTATTGGCAAGACTGTTAAGAGCTTCCAACAGGTTCCTTCTGTGTTTCTATTAAGCTCATCGTTTAGCTTTCTTGCTTTTATTTATAAATATACTTATGATTTGACTTTGTGATATTATCTTGTTTCGTGTCGTAGTTCGCCTATTTTGGATATTGACCGTGTCGTTTGAGTCGTTTTTGAAAGAATACTGGTAGGATTTCCTAATACTAATTGGGTAAAAATATGAGAATTCTTTTCCCTGTTTCAACATTCTAGAATTTGGTGTGGTATCTGTTAAAGGAAATCATGGAAAACGGAAAAGAGATAATCTTTACGGGAAATATATTTATGAAAAAAAAAAGTTAGGTTTATTTCTGAGAAGTTACCAATTTTCAATTAAATTATCAGAGTGGATTTTGTTCGTGTGAATTGCTTCTATCTGAGCTTCCATTGCTGATCATTGGATTGCCAAAACTTTACTTCTTGATGCACTATTTACTTTTTTTCTGCTTTCCTTCCTTTTTGTGCAAGTTCATTCTAATCAAGGGAAGGGTATTTCTTCTGCCCGGCTGAATAATATGATTGGATATTAGGATCCTAACTTTGAATTTGGGCCTTAGATCCGACCCGTTTATCTGTACCGGTGTGAGAGCTTAGAAAATCAGTCGATTACTCCAACTACTGACTCACTACCAACCAAGTTCTTGCGCGAATTACATTTTCTGATATCAATTTTGCAAAAACCCATCAAATCTAACGCAGAAGGTTTTTGGCTGAAATGACGACCATTTCAACTGCCGCAGTTGCTTCAAAACTAAACCATACACCTACTACGAGATTTACCACTGTGTTCTCTTCATCCAGCTCAGTGTTCTTTGGTGATCATATCTCTAACCAGGCCGGTCTTCGCCTGGTTTTGGATCGGCCCAGAAGAGCCCGTACGAGTGGGAAAAGAGGGCTATCGTGTAACTGTCTTTTTGGGCTCGGAGTGCCGGAGCTGGTGGTAATTGCCGGCGTCGTTGCGCTGGTTTTCGGGCCCAAGAAGTTGCCAGAAGTTGGCCGGAGTATTGGCAAGACTGTTAAGAGCTTCCAACAGGTTCCTTCTGTGTTTCTATTAAGCTCATCGTTTAGCTTTCTTGCTTTTATTTATAAATATACTTATGATTTGACTTTGTGATATTATCTTGTTTCGTGTCGTAGTTCGCCTATTTTGGATATTGACCGTGTCGTTTGAGTCGTTTTTGAAAGAATACTGGTAGGATTTCCTAATACTAATTGGGTAAAAATATGAGAATTCTTTTCCCTGTTTCAACATTCTAGAATTTGGTGTGGTATCTGTTAAAGGAAATCATGGAAAACGGAAAAGAGATAATCTTTACGGGAAATATATTTATGAAAAAAAAAAGTTAGGTTTATTTCTGAGAAGTTACCAATTTTCAATTAAATTATCAGAGTGGATTTTGTTCGTGTGAATTGCTTCTATCTGAGCTTCCATTGCTGATCATTGGATTGCCAAAACTTTACTTCTTGATGCACTATTTACTTTTTTTCTGCTTTCCTTCCTTTTTGTGCAAGTTCATTCTAATCAAGGGAAGGGTATTTCTTCTGCCCGCAGCCTGACTGCTAACCTTTTTCTGTTCCTTGGAAGATCACACTAAAGAATAAACGCAAGAACTAGAATCTTCGATTGTTGCCTGCGCCCAAAACCAATGTCTTCTTACATTTCTAGCACTATGATTTCTCATGGCTTTGCTGTTTTCTGTATAAGCTGTGGCGGTGTTACAGCTCCAGCAATAGCTTGTGAACTCACTCCATAAAAGATACAAAGATCGTCCCCGACAATCCAAACATTCTTTAAGGACCTTTCATAAACTGATTTTAGGGTAGGGTCAAACTTGTAGACAGAGAATAATATGGGACTAAGATGTGAATTTTTAGACTGCACAAAGCAACATAAATGTTAATCAGACTTCTTTTTAACTTGGGATGCTTTACACTTTGCCAGAAGCTGCACCATGCAATTCTAGTGATTTTTTAAATTTCGAATGATCTTGAAAAGAAAATACGGAGCTGGATAAATTTGGCATATGCCAACAAACAAATGACAAGTAAGACCTCCTTTTTTGGTGGCATCTAATGCGTTGTCATGTGTCCTTGCTTGGGCAAAATTTTGCTTGATTAGCATTACCTGGATGTGAATCTTTTGAAAGCACTTCTGACATAAGTGCATTAAAGCTCCAAGTCTCCAACCATATCTATACAAAGTTAAGTGTTCTGTTTTCCTAGCAAATATGTCCTTTCGGTTGGTACTATTCATCGTAAAGTTGGGGACTCAAGTGCATGACCCTCCATCCAATCTGCCTTTTCCACAGGCCTACTCACCTCCCAACGTACAAATCTGATGCAATAGAGAGATTTTCAGTCAAGAACATAATAATTTCGTCCAAAAAGAAAATCTTGGTAATCTAGTATTTCAAGCACCGCGGGTATCATCTTCAAAACACCAAAAGTTTGAAGCAATTATTTCTAATTGACTTGAATGATGCCAAGTCTGCAAAGAGATGTATATTGACTCCCAATAAGGCCAGAGTAGGTTACCTGTTTTGAAACGAATATTCTTTTCCCCCAAAGTAAAGGATGTTTCTTTGTGTGCATTCTGAATCACTCATTATACCTTCACTGCTAATTTTCCTTGATTAATAACCTCTTTCCATAAATATTTAGGATTAAAGAGATGAAATTCTTGTCTAATTAGTAATTACAACCATATATAATTACACCATATAATTATCTAGTTAAATAAGTTAACTAGCACACCTACACAAGGGAAATACAATTAATGGGTTCAACAGAAAAGCAAAAGAAAACAAGGAAAGAACAGCCAACAATATTTAGGAATGTGATCTGATCTCATAATTGTGCACACGATTGTCAGCCATATTTTATAGTGCCAACTCAACTGCACCATTCCCCTGCTGGAAAAAGATTCATAATCAAATCTTAGCTAATGCCATTGTCCAACAGTAAACTTCCCGTGTATGGTAACGATGAAGATCTCCAATGTTTTAATGTAACTTGGTATTTGGTAGTAGAGTAGCTTCCTTGCTGAAAAAGATAATATAGTTGCCAACCATTGTCATCATTATCTCCAGTTGTCAAGTATACTCGCTGGACCACCAATAAATGACCTGTTTCACCTTGCACTAATTCTTTTATTCATCTTACCCCTCTTCCTGAAAATTGTCAATTAATACTCTTTTTAGATTGTTGCTGGCCCAAATCCCCACAGTCGAAACACCGTACACCTCAACTGTGCCCAAATGGTAGTCCACCAGATTGTGTGTGTCCAGCTAATAGAGATCCAGTTTGTGCTGCCTCTAAGGAAGCGTGAAGCGTTGCTGTTCTTCCTGATGCAATAGCTGTTGGAAAAAATGGGTGATTTGTGTATAGATAAACATATCAACTAATAAATATAAATAACATAATTCAATAATTGCATAAACATAATAATATAAACATTATAATTCAACGATAAGAAGAGAATAGTTAGAAATACAAGCCTTAGGCATTCACGTCAAGGACATTGTCCCAAAGTTGCTTGGTCTCCCCTTTTGGCACTACATGGCTTCAAGATAAAATCCATATTACTCACAGCTGGCTCTTTTTCTATGTACACGATCATAGGGAGATAAATGAACGAGTCTCTCATCGAGTTGTCAAAATAATATGATATAAAATTGTAAAGAAAATAATACTTCAAGTTGTTGTATTCTAGTTCTATTTTTCAATGAGATATAATCACATTTTATAGGTGAATATCAACCCTAACAATTAAACTATTAAAATGTAAGTTAGAATATGATTTATGATGTTTTTTAATTTGTGTTAAAACTGATTATTAAATCAAAAAACAGAAAATTAAATGGTTTAAATATTGAAAGATTACAACTTTATTTTTATGTTACAACAATAGCACCACAATAAAGTGATGCTGCCTCTCGTGTTGAGTCATTCAGAGCCAAGGGTGGTGGCTGCTAACTACTGTTGCTGTGCTAGAACCAAATGTTAGCTCCCCATCCTTTGTCATCTGTCTTTCCAATTGAATGGTTCATCAGTGAGCCTTCATTAATTACAGTGGTTAAAATAAATTCAAGCTGTGTTGGAAAGAAATGCACAAACCAACATTGTATCTGGAATCATTTGGTCTTCCAATTCAGATAAAAACTCCGACATGTACACTTCCACCGAACATGCCCCTTGTTGCAAATTCTGTAGGCTTCCGTACATCATTTGCTTACAGCTGTAGGTAAGAAGGCTGCATGCATGTGTTTCTTTTAATTTTTCCAATGATGCAGCCTTCGTCTTCCCCAATCTGATCGCACAGCCTCTTGTTGCCACCAGGCTGCTGCTTGGCCATGAAATTGGGTGATGACAAGGGACACGCCTGCAATCTGGAACCTCCCCAAAATCCAACATCTCCTCAACCGTATTGATCCAATCCAAGAATACTTCGGGTTCATGTCCGCTGTGAAATTCAGGAATGTCCACCTAGAAACCTGATTTCTGCCCCGTCTCTGTCATCTCCCGCCCATTGCGCAACCCCCTGCCATGATTTCTGTCACAGTTGTTGCTTGCTGCATAGCAGCCAGTTGCGCTGTTGAAGACTAGACTTGGCAGCATAAACCCCAGTTCTCATCTTGTAGCAATACTTCTTCCATTGGAATCTCACGAGCGTTGTTTTTCCTCCTCGTTGGCACCTGGCCAGGAATGTTATGAAGTTTTAGCTTTACAAAGTTTCCTGAGTTTGCTATAGTTCCTTAAGTTTCTCTTTGATTTTAGCAAGAGTTTCTGAATCTATTAAATTAAAAGAGAAAAAAACATAGGAAGTTTTCTCGAAGTTTCTAAAACATTTCTCAAAGTTTCTAAGGAGTTTTGGTTTTCAAAACATGTCTGATAATGCTAACCTTTCAGAAGTTTCAGTGCTACCAAGCTTACGTTAATTGTGTGGGGGTTTTTCTTGTTTCTTTTTGTTTCTCAATCCAAGAAATTACATGGGGTTATGTTTGGTTCTTATTTTCTGATCCAAGAATTTATGAAATGGGATGATGGACTAGAGGAAGTGATGTGAAGTGTAACACGTAAAAATTACTGACATGGTACATATGTATGCTTCTGTTGATTGCTCTAAATTGTGATTCCTCTGTTCATATCTCCGCAAATCACAAAGAGAACGGGCTACAAACTCAATTTTTGAGCTTTAAGTGATTAAGAACTCGGTTACTTCTGTATATGTGTATGTCCTCTATATGCATAGAGTATATAACTCATTTCTTCCTATAAAATCATCTAAACTAAGCAGATTTTATATTTACCATTCAACAAGGTTCTCAGTTTTCCTTCGATATATTCAAGAAAAGACTGAAAAGTTATGAACTTTTTATTTTTATTTTTTTTAAACTCAATGCACATAGAATATAAACAGAAATAAAACACTACAGGTATTGACACATTTCTGTTGTAGGCTGCAAAAGAATTAGAGTCGGAACTGAAGAAGGATACTGAATCTTCGGAGGAGCTTCCTGCTGAGAAGATTACTACAGTCAGTGAAGAGGAGAAACAAGAGGCTAAAGTCCCGAGCACAAAGGAGAGCTCTCAAGTTTGAGACATGCTAATGTAATCAGAACTTGTTATAGCTGCAACTTTTTTCGCGTGTTCGAGTCCTCCATTTTGATACTGTGTCCAAATTATTGTTATTGATGTTCTTGGTTCAGTTCCATCAGAAAATGGATTAGAAAGTTTGCTCGCTTTTTGATATATTTTTGGATATTTTGTCATTGGTGGATCTTTGATAAACGTAGGCATAATGAATCATTGAACGCAAAAGTTATCACGAAGTTGATGAATTGTGAGTTGCTCTTTTTCCTCATCAATCCTTGGCTAGCTCCTTGAGATTCTTTATTATCCCTTGAATCAGATTTTCTCCTTTTCTCAAGCGTTCAATTCGGACAATAAAAACAAGATTTTTAATAGATTTTAATAAAAGTTGAAATATTTGATTAAAAAATTGTGGATGTGATTAAAAATGAACTTTAGGATACATGAATTTTACAAAATAGAAACCAAGTATGTATAATAGCGTATAGTAATATTTTCCACACTACATGACCGAATGATGAATGACGAAAAGAGAGTGCTCTACAAAATGTCACCACAAATGCCAAATGGATTTGAGCAAGACCAAAGAAAAAAAAAAATTCTGCAATCAAAATCACTATTTATGCTAACATTTGTCAATTCTTCAAATCTAGGGACCCAAATTTAGTGGGAACTTAATTTAACATTCACAAAGTTTCAAACACAATGCAATCATATTAAAAATAAAAAGCAAAAATGAAAACTAACCTACCAGACAAACCTTGAGTATTAAAACCTGAAAAAGGCTCTACCTTATTTGGTATAAATATGTGGGCAAGAGTACCTTAGTTTTAACCATTCAAATGCATTTAAGGATATACTTCCTGTTCAATATTTGACATATCATTCAAGTTAAGACCAACAAATTAGGTTACAAATCTTTTCCTTAAAGCATCAAGACACAAATAAGGAATTTCTACATATAAACCAATAGAAGTTGGTGAAGGCCTTTTTGTCAAGATCTTCAACATACACTTACTGTTTTCCTGGTCCACCACGGATTCGCTTCTGCAGATGTTCCAAGCTAGCCACTCGCTGCTGCGCGGAAACCGTTCTTCCCACCTCGTTCCCCCTCACTTCTTCTGTTGCAGAATTGTGCTCTATGTTATCCACCGGAGGAATATCTACCAGACTGTTTTGAACCCTAGGATCATTCGTCGACAGGTGGTTATTAGGAGGAGGTTGATAGTAAGGCTGTCTTGAGACATCTTGTACTGGTACAGCAGCATCTGCTAATGTATCAGAACTAGCACCAAAGGATGGCATACCCATAGTGGATATTTCAGACATGGCTTGGAGCAGAGGGTTCAATCCGGTAACCCTTTTAACAGTCTCTTCTGCCATTTTCACCTGTTAAGGAAAGCGAGATTACCTATTAGACTTGGATACTGGACTCAAGTAATACAGATCTGCAAACACAAGTCATACAATAAAATGATATAACAATCTACAGGGAAATAACGTGCATTGGAACCCATGGATATGGACCTGAATCTGATATAAAAAGAACAGATAAGAGCATCATTTTTCCTACCCATTAAGCACCAGTGAGATGATACTAAATTTTTTCTATTATTATTTCTCTTTCTTGAGGAAATGCAATGGTTTTTCTAATTTAAACGCTCCTTTTGAACTACCCAAAAATGATTTGTAAGAATAAAATGGCACATACTTGTTTTACTCACCTTTGCTCTCAATGTCTCAACATCAGCTTTCAGAACTCTATTGTCAACAGCAGCTTCACTATACTTCTGATTTATGTGAGAGAGGCGCTTTAATAAAGAAGAGTTCTCCATGTTTAGTTGAGATACCTAGGAAGTAGCACGAGCAAGAAATGACAAGAGGATAGCCAAAACGTAGATGAAGGTGATGACTGATGAGAGTAGAGCATATACCTGTGTTTCGAGCTCCGTCAAATGGGCTTGCTTTCTTCTTCTCGAGCGCCTAGCAGATTCTCTGTTTGAGAGCATTCTGAAAACAAATAATTGCACTATAAGAGGACTGAACATGGTTTGAAACTAGTATATGCCACATTCTACGCACATCATCACAAAAACTAATAGGAAACGATCACATTGTAAAATGGAAAACAAATGATTACATCATATTTTAAAACATAGATAACAAGGTAAACTAATTTTTGGTTAATAATTATTGAAGCCAGTCTATTTGTCAATTTATTGTTCAATGGTACACATGCTTTTATTCTCATTATTTAAGATCATTATTTAGTATAGAATATCGAACATAATTAATGAGTTTTATTAAAAAGAAAAGCAGCCTTCCCATGGTTGAAAAAGAAAAGAAAAATTTGACACAAGTATGCATGATCTAATTCGCATCTCTCAAGATATGAAATATTTCGAACAAGAACTTTGGACATTATTAAATATTTGTACTCTTAAGCAATAGGTTACGAGTATTCTAGCGACATACATTTTTCTCCATTGATGCATTTTCCCCCCCACATATTATTACAATTTCTAAATCATATGATAGGATGTATAGCACTGGCTCTTTTGATCTGATGTTGATCTTAATTCTTGTAAATCTTTCCATTCTTATTAAGAAGTAAATGTAACAATTTCAAAATATAGATTGGCTATATGTTCTTGAGTAACAATTGGCCGAGTGGCATGTTCTAAAAATTTCTTATACATCAGAGAAAGAGATCACTTAAAATTGTTAATTCGGCCAGTCTGCATTAGGAGAAACTTACATAATACAGAAAGGATATTCAAGTGAATTATGTCACCACACTTAGAATTAACAGGTCAAATAAGTGTCTTTCAGCAAATTTGGACATGCCAACCTCCAACCACAGACCACACAACACACACAAAAAGAAGAAAGATGGAGTTCAAATTAATGAATTACTTACTATATGAGCCAGAATTAAAATAAAAACAAAATATATAGTTTTTTCAATTTTCTCCCTATACCACCATTTCTTCTCTGCCAGCTGAATTAGAATCTGAGGTGATAATATATATCTTACGTAGAATCTCAGATCTGTTGATATAATCCATGTCTAGCCAACTGAATTTCTCTGATCTGTGTGATATCCATATAATTTCACATTTACTTTACTAAAGAGTTGGTTGCCTTGGAGCTTCCTCAACTGTTGGCTGCAAAGGCAGCATTAGGAACCTTCCGTGAACCACCGTTGACAACATTCTCCTCACGTCCCCACTATTATTAGATTTATAATTCATTACTGGATTGGTGAAGCAAGACACACAGACATACAACCACGCAAAAAAGAGAGAGTCCCTTTTGAAGAAGGATCCTTCAGAGAGGAGACTAGTAAGATTTTATTATCAAGCTCTCAAAGTGTAGATTTTTCATACAAATTGCTTTAGCAATTCTCTTATATTGTACTCATCTAATATGACGGCCAAATAAAGGTTAAGCTGTTACTACCTTCTCATGCGTTTTGCATCTGTAGGGTCCATATTCTCAGTTGTTTCTGCATCTCCCTCAGCCTCATCATCATCTGACTGGTCCCCAGATGATCCACTAGTTGTTGACTTCACCTGGGTCACAGATTTTCTTGGCATTGCAGGGAGGGAAGGTACACCAATTGGTGCACTAGAGTCCTTATCTTTGCCTTTTGATGAACCCCGCCCAACTGTTATAGAGGTACAAGACTCAAATAAGAAACAATGTTAGAAACAGTTTTTAACCTTGACAGTATTTTCTACACCAAACCATAGTCATTTATGCCTTGTGATTAATTCCTCGGCACTTGATGCTTAAAAAAAAAAAAAAACATGGTCTCATGGAGCTTATACTGGTTTATTATATTTCTAATACTTCTCAAAAGTAAAGATGTATCCAATAGGAAAGTGTTTCAATCACAGATTTCTAGATGACTTCACATTCTAATATTAAGCCTGAACGCATAAATTGAAAGATGATCATTAGTAGATAAGAAGAAATGAAGAAGTCAAAGACTTCAGTTGTCAACATTGCATATCAGGGGATGGTAAAAATGTGAGTTGTAAAGTTGGTTAGTTGTCAGCTAAGTTTACAACATACATCATCATTATGAGCCAGTACAAACTTGAAGGTCCTGTATAAACAGGATTTAATATCCAACTTTGAAGCGTAAATTTTAAAATAATCTCAAATGTGTTCATCAAATATAAAAAAGAACCCGAAGACGGATAAGGTGATGCCTTGAAATGGACTAAGAGAAACCAACATAAAGGTTTTGGCAAATACACCAAGAGCATTTTTGTTGTAGTTTAAAAAAAAAAAAAAGGAAAAAGGAAAAAAGAAGAAGAAGAAGAGAGAGAGGGCAGAAAAATCAACCTTGGAGTAGAGAAAAGCCAAAGTCTGAATTAACAATTCTGGTATGTGATTCACATTGTAACAACAATGAGACAATGTTCATATAGTTACTAGAGTGTAATAGGTTTCGGCACCTAAGGACTTCGCCACATAGAGGTTCCAACAAACGCTTTGGACCAATTTTAAAAGCAAAGCTTATATCATTAGATCTTAGGTTCAACCATGTAAGTCTACAGTTTATGCTCTTAGTTTGAATAAGCTAGTCTCATTTTTAGTTGATACAGTGTAACTTTTAGTGGCATATATCATTCAACAATAGATCTGCCTAATTAAAAAAATCTTGTAAAGAACTCCGAAGGATATTTACTAATGTAATAAGGATAAGTCTCATTCAAATAGTAATATCCAATGCAAAAATAAAAAAAATAAAATGAAGTCTTGTAAAGAACTTCGAAGGATATTTAGCAATGTAATAAGGATGAAGTCTCATTCAAATAGTAATATCGCTCCTTTGAGCCCTATTTGAGACTTAAGGCTAGCTCTTGATTTATAGGTAGCTGCTGAGTAATGGTTTCATCAGTCGCGTTACATTATGGTCTATTACAAGAATGAATAAACAAGAACTTAATAAGAAAAACTAACATTTCCTCCTTTTTACCCTCCAAAAAAACACTAAGCACGAAGGATTCGAACTCAGTAGCCTCGTTAGCAATATCAATACACTTAGGCATTTAAAATATAGCTCTATCACAAGCACCTAAGTTTATATGAAATCAGCATTGTTCATGAAAAGACCATTTAATCCTTGGCCATCAGCTCTATACAGAACTCTTACTAATCCACATAACATCAATACATTGCAAGTGTTTGAAGGGGAGAAAATTAAAATCAGCTACCAAACCCTAACAAGAGACAAGGTTTAAAGGTGACAACATTAAATTTAATGCAATTAGTACATGTGCAGAGGAAAAATAGCCATGAATTTGAAAAGCAATGAGAATCAATTCAAGCAAATCTCAATTATTAGCTCTATTTATGATAGTACATAAAATATTTGACAGCTGGTGGCGGTTGGATGCCTGTTACGTTCCCTTCTCTACTTTCTCGTTTTTCAATAACATATAACTTCACTAAAAGGAGAAATTTTTTGACCTCTCCACGGCTACCCAACGGTATAAACATGCGATAATGTAATGATCCAGTTAGTTTGATGATGCAGCCAACAGCATTTTTGTACATTCATATATCACCATATCAAATGTATCAATTTACATACGTTTCCTCGTAAGGAAATAATTTAATTAAATACACTGCAGCAAGCTCACCTTTTTGAGGAACCTGAGGCCCCCGCTGCGATGAATTAGAGGTCTGCGACCCATCGTCTGATGTTGCAACTCCTAAATCTTGAGCCTTTACATTAGCTGCCTACATAGATCGATTCACAATGCAGAGATTAGTTGCATTTACATGTTTAAGTTACTGTAAGTGAAAAAAATAAGAAGCAAATTGTACAACTAATAAGGCACGATGTACAAAATGCTAAGGTCGGCTTAAATTAATTCCAAGAGAAACAAGCAGAGAAAGTATCCAACACATCACACAGGAAACTCCAAAGTGCTCCATTTTTTTTTTTTTTTTGTAAGAAAATGGAAAATTGAATAACTGAATAATAAAAATAAAAAGAAGTACCCTGGTAAACGCCACGGCGGCACAAGCCAACTCGAGGCGGCTTTTAAGGAAGGCCTGGTACTCATCAGAATTCACTGGAATAGCAGGCTGTAAAGAGCCCCCAGCTACTGCCGCCGTTTCCGCCGCAATCCTCCGATGCTGATTAGAATTACCATTATTAAACTCATTTTGCTTAGAATGATGAATATTGTCTTCGATCTCCACAACGTCGGCGTTTTGGAGATTCATCGATGACGCTGAGGAATGATTAGGTGCGGCAACTTCCTGTAGGAAACGCTGAAATGCCCATTCTGATGGACTCCGGTTCATCTTCATCGCCTTCGATGAGGAGGACGAGGCAGCAGTAGCGGAGGACGACGACTGCTCCTCATCATCCTTCTCTTGCAAATCCAGTCGGTTCGACGGCGGCTGTGGCGACCAGAACTGGTCCGCCATCTCATCCACTGAGAACACCCTATCCATCTCTCTCTGGGTTTTCTTCTCTCTCAGTCCTTGCACTCGTCAAAAGAAGAAAAAAATCCCTTGTACAGCAATTTACTGGGTTTAATTGTGGGGTGGAGAAAATGGTCAAAATTTTCATGAATTATTTGCCAATGACATTGAAATTTTGTCTAAATTTTCTTAAAATGTAGAGGAGAGAGAAGCCGGCTCAGGCTACTTTATTTATTAGAAGTTTCTTTTATTTTAATTCTATTTATGCAAGTGGTACATACTAAAAGGACAATAACAGTTCTCATGAGATGATCGAGTTAGTGAAGTAAGTGAGCGGAGAGGTTTTTGATCACGAGTTCGATTTTTCTTACCAACACTTTCTCGATCGAGTATGTTGGATAGGGCTTGCCTAATGCGATTTACATGGTTGGAATAATTTGCAGGCTATTGCGTCAATGCGAAAGTTTACCCAATGCGCACCCGAAAGGTAATGATTGCGGATTCTCCTATCATTAAAAAAAAAAAACGAGGGAGGGGACGAGGGGTGGGGGGGGGACATTTTTTTATCCTTTTATTTATGAAAAGATAATCAAGGAATGTCTACGTTGAACATAAACACTTACTCTTAATACATTTAAACGAAATTGAAGCCCCGTGGATGATTAATATCGATCTAGTCTAAACTTAACCAGTGAACTAATACATTAATTTAGCCAAATTTCAAAAGCTTTAATAATTCGAGAGTTTAATCGAAATGAAATTCGAGTGATTCCGTTGAAATGATAGTTAATTGGTGTTCAACAAGTAGAGCGTATACTTGCATATAGCATGTATATTGGATGCTGCCAAATAATTATCAATAGCATGGCAATGCCTAATGAAAGTTTGAGGCAAAATATTTGTGTTGGACTTTTGCGTCATAATATTTCATAGCAGTTGGATTTTCATTGGATGCTATTCGTTAGAGTATTTTTAGTTCCCCATTTGTTTTTAATTTTTTTCTCAAAAAATATGACCGTTATCTATCACATCAAATCAAATTTGAATTTTTATCTCTCATGTGGGACCCATAACAACCATATTTTTCATTCTTATTATCATGAAAACAGGAAACAAATGGGGCCTAATTTCACCTTTTTTTCTCTACAATGTACTCGTTGACTCGTGATAAAGAAGGGTAAAAATGCAAATGCCGAAAACCACATTTTGGAGAAAGAAAGTATTCAAACGAGAGTACCTAACACAATGTTTGCTTCAAATTTTATTTTATTTTAACCTGTGTTTCAAAGATAAAAAAAAATATATCAAATTCCAATAAAATATGTCCCAAGTTAAAATATTACTCGACCTCAAGTACGAAATCTTGACTAGAGAGACCAAGTAAATGATTGATTTTTTAGAGGGTGTTTGACATCCATTTTTAAGGAAAAATAAGTTTTGGAATAGTAGATTGATGAAAAATGTGTAGATAAAAAGTTTTTGATTTACGTGTAATATTATTTTAATGAAAAATGCGTGGTTAAAAAGAAGAGAGGGGAAAATGTATTTTAAGAAAAATGGAATCAAATGGGCATTAATTTCTAACCTATGAGTTTTAATGTTTTACTATAAAATATGTCCAACTTTTATTAATGTTTCCAAATTATGAATAATGCTCTACCATCGTTATTGCTTTCAATTATATATACTTCATTTACATTAAGAGAATTAAAAAATATAGATTTGTCTGAACGGGCCTTCATCTTCGTTCATAAGTTTTCGAGAAATCTATTGCTCTTCAACAAATAATTATGTATGCAACAAAATGCTGGGCTCACCATTTTAAAGATCGTTAATACGCTTATATATTAAGAGAAATTTGTAAAAACTTTGTGAAGAGCCGAGCCACATTTCACTCAGAAAGCCGGATCGTGTTGTATGTCAAGTTGAGTTCGTCAATGACAGATCAATTGACTCAACTCGAGTCATTTAACACCTCTGGACCTTTCATTTTTTCTCTTTTCTTTTTCCTTTTTAAAAAAAAAAATATTAATCAAAATGTTTGTATAAGGAAAGACAATGAGATGAAAAATCTTTAAAAACTGATTCTGGGTTAATATCTAGTCCATGTGCGGCCCAATTAATTATAATGTGAAATTGTAGAATTTTAAATAGGTGTCGACATTTTAATCGGAATCGAACCTTTTGAATCGAATAGAACCGAAATCAAAGGTTTCGTTCCGGTTCAAAAAAAGAAAAAATGAAAAAAAAGGGAACCAGAACCACAGGTACCCTAATGGAACCAATTTTTTAATTTACAATTTTATAGACTTGGCTAAAAAATTTGCAAAACCTAAAAGCCTTAATTTGGGTAGTAATTTGTCTAAAACTCTAGATACTAAGAAATCAAGACTCGTTCCTACTTTTTTGCCTCTCACATCACATCAAATTGTTGCATTTCAGAAAGTGAAATTTATATAATACTAGTTGTTTAAAGATCACAATTCAAAAAATCAAAGTTAAAGTTTCATTATTCATAAATCAGATATCAATATAATAATTAAATGTTAAATATCTTCACCCAATTATTTCATACCCTAATCATTTTCCCTATATTTTTCTCTCTCTACCCTCTTCATTCTCTCTCTCTATATTATCTCCAATCTCTCTATCACAAAATACCACCAAAGATTCCGTTGCACATGAACTACAGTTGCCCGTTGGAAAGCGTTGCCGATGAAGACACTTTTAGGCAAGGAGAAGCAGTGCGGCAACGATGAAGTTACTGCGTACGGCTTTGCACAAATCAAGGATGGTGGTTATTCATCGTTACTACAGCAGTTGTAATGGTAGGCTCAGTGATGGTGGGTTTGTGTGTCGTCGCCACCAGCTGTAATGAAGAGGAGATCGGAGTGTTTGGTTTGTGGTATGGCGATCTGAAAATTTTGTCAGTTCGGTGATTTGTACCACGATTCGGTGCTGGTCAGATCTACTTAGGTGGTTTTCATGTTGTCGTCGCAGTAGTGATGAGGTTAGAGATGTCAACGAGACGAGCAAGCTTGCGAGCCGAAACTTGAGGCTCGGGTAAAATGTGCAAGCTTTTTTTTAGAGCATAGGCACGATCAAGCTTTTGGCTCGGGCCTTTCCAAGCCAAGCCGGGCAGGCTTGCTTTTTTCTTTGCTTTTTTTTCCCTTTCATTTTGTTGCTTTTCTGATGGTTTTTTTAAAGGCTCGTGGGCTGGCTCAGGCTCGGCTTGAGCTTTTTCCAGGGCGAACCACGGGCAACTTGAGCCGACGAGTCGAATTGTCGTCCCTAGATGAGGCATTGCAGTAGTGAGATGTCGATGATGGTGGTGAATTTGCTTGGGGTATGGTGGTCGTGTTGATGCTACTTGTAGTGGTGGTAGTGGTGGTTTAGGGTGATTTTGGAGTGGTTTTAAGTGGCTTTCGTTGGTTGTGCAGATAGAAGTATTAGCAATGATGGTGGATTTGGAGATGATTTTTGTGTGGTGATACAAGTGGAGATGTTGGTGGTGGTGGTGGTAATGTTGTGGTGCTGGCGACGGTAGCAAGGTGAGGGTGGTCGCAAGTGGCAGTGGCGATAGTGTTGGTGGTGGTGGTATGTAACCAATTATTTCGTTATCTGCGACCAAATATTAATCTGTGACCTTAAAATTTGATAACTTGTGATTGAAAAACAATTGTGACTAACAAATTTGAAAATCTGTGATCGATAGATAAACTGTGACCTGTAATTATTATTTTTTTTTATTTGTAATCAATGAGATAAACTGTGACTTATAAATTTTTTGATTTGTGACCTCGAAATAATCTGTAACCAATTAATTTGATAATATATGACCAGTAAATAAATTGTGACCAATAATTATATATATTTGACCATTAATTGTACAATTGTAACCCTATTATATTTAATTAATAAATATTTTTAATTAATTAGCTAATATCTAAATTTTGCATTTTGAAACTTAACACATGAAAATTGAATCGTGTCAAAGTTAACACCTGACCTTTGAATTTTCCCTTTCGGAGATTAGTACATAGGGGTGTCAATGGGGGGTTCGGCCCGTGAAAGCATGAGCTCGGCTCTTCCAAAAATGGTAAAAAACCTAATCCCTCCTCCTTTATCCGTGTTTGGGATCGGCTACTTAAATTTAGAGTATGCGGAGTTAAAAATTGTGTTGTTTGTTTGTTTGTTTGTTCGTGTACAATGTTTTAAAAAAAATTAAAAATAGTATTAAAAATTATTTTTTCAAGTAACGATGCGCGTCCCTTTACATATAATCTTCGAAATAAATCTTTTCTAAAAATTGAAAGGGTAATCGAATGCCCTTTCAATTGTCAGAATGAATTTATTTCGAAAATTATATGCAAAGGTACGCACAGCGTTATTCGAGAAAAGAATATTAAATTTAAATTTAGACATATAGTAGTAATAGTACTAAGTACTAACAACAATTTAAACTAACAACAATTTAACTAAATTGGTGGAAAGATTTTTTTTTTTTTAACTAAAAGAGATAGAAATAAATAAAAATGAAATCTTTATTTTTTTTATTTTTCTTTTTAAAATAGATAAAATATAAACCCTCCTCCTTTATCCGGGCTTGGGACCGGCTACTTGAATTTTCAGTAGGCGGAGTTAAAAATTGTACACGAATAATTTATTGTAGCGTGTACAATTTTTAAAAAAAAATTAAAAGTAACGATAAGAAAAGAAAAGTTTCATTAATATAATTAAATCAAATATTACTTACTTGACGACATGCAATTTCGACATATTTATCTTGTGGTCGAAAATGAGCGTCCTGTCAATTCTTGACGCACATTAACACTTCTAAAATATCTTCTTTTAGTCGGCTCCTAACCTCGCTCAAAACTCTTTGATCTGCACTAAAAGTAGACTCCGAAGCAACTATGCTAACCGGAGGTGTCAACAGATCTTTTTCAATCGCAGATATAACTAGCCAACGTCGTCAACACTTTCGCCAGAATTCAATTACTTCATCTGAACTTTTTTTAATTATTTTATCTGTTGGCATATTCTGGTTAAAATAATCAATTAATTCAACAGGCAATGCATTATGACTTGAGCCCGTAGATGTTTGATGAGAATGAGATACAGATGTAGACGACATGGCAGTGATAGTAGATGAACACATTGTTGATGAATCATATCTATACGAATTAATGCCTTGAAATAAATTAAATATTTTCACATCTTTTTCTTCAATTTCAGCGGAAGGAGCAGGTGCAGATGGTACCCGACTAATATTGGTACCCATTCGGTTCGCATATAGTTCATACATTTCACATAATATTTGCTCTAAATTTCTATATGTGATAAGTGTATCAAATGTTAAGGCGTTTGAAATTTGATCAATTATACATTTAGTTCCCGATAAATTATATCGGGGGTCTATCACGCATGCTATAGAAAATAACATAGGTAAATCTTCCCAATTTTTCTAAATTTTAATTCCATAGCAATTATAATTTCACTAAAATCAGGATCATTTTTGTATTTATGAAATATTCTTGCAATTATATAAAGACTCTCAAGCACTATACAACTGGTGGGATAGTAAACGCCCGATAAAATTTTAGTGGTTTCATAAAAAGATGTCAAAAATCTTTTAACTTTCAAAGCTATTTGCCAATCCCGTTCAGTCAACATACCCTCGTCATCACTTCTAACATGTCTATTGTTATAAAAGTCAGTTATTAAATGTTCAAAACTTTCACATGACTTAATAATAAGTAAGTAGAGTTCCACTTATGACTTACGTCGCTAACAAATGTTTTAGCATTTTGGACTTCTATTTTGGCACAATAATACTCAAATGCTTGTTTTCTACTTGGAGAGATTGTGATATATATTAATGCGCTCCTAATATTTTGAAATTCATCCTTTATATATTTTAAAGCATCTTGGACAATTAAATTCAAAATATGACATACATAATGAATATGAAACAAATACCCACCAAAATCAGGTTGCAGTACCCTATGAAATTTATCAGCAATTACTTTATGAACACTAGCATTATCGAAAGTAAATGAATGAATTTTACTTTCGCAATGATATTCTCTAACAATACTAATAATAGCATTAAATATATTATTAGCGTTGTGAGGAAACTCAATAATTCTAAAAGCAATAATTTTTTTATGCATGCACCAAAGTGGGTCTATATAATGTGCAGTTGCAGCTATATATGCTCTTTTATTAATCCATTCCCATATATCCGAAGTTAAAGATATGACACCCCCCATATTTTTGCAAATTCATAATTAATTGTTGTTTTGTTTCAGTAAAATATTGTATTGTATTGGAACGAAGAGTGTTTCGACTTACCCCAATGTACCTTGACTGCAGATATTCTTTCACATACGAGACGTAGTATTGGTTGTCAATTAATGCCAAAGGCAACTCAGCACCAACAACAAGTTTCACCCTTCCGATTCGAGCTCTCTCCTCCGAATACACCCATGTGGATAAGGGTGCAGCAGAACCACCGTCGTCTGGACTGACAAATTGCAATTGTATTTGACAACCTAGAATAAGTCCGCGTTTGGCCACACATACTTTGTAATGACGGTTGAGATGGGTGGTACCAATTCCTCTTTGCCATACCAATCTTCGTTGGCAGTATTTACATACTGCTTTGGATTCTGGGACTCCATTGATGATTTTTTTCGTTGAAGTCAATTTAAAGTGATCCCAACATTTTGCTTGTTTTTTTCCCTTTCGCTTTTCCCTCGCATCAGGATTGTTTAATTTAGTCTCTTTTTTCTGATCGTATTCCGCTTCAGGAACGTCAACATCATTCAAATTAATTGAATAATTTGGATTGCCGCTTACATGATGATGAAGATCCAAATCTGGAGTAACTTCAGGTAGGAGTACGTCATTTAGACCTTCAAATTGATTCTGAAATTGACTTTGCGGTGTCATAGGCGATTCGTTTCCTCTCACACCGAACAAGTTTTCGACAAATGTGCGTGAATCCATTTGTTTAATTGTAATAAGTAATAACTAGTAAAAAAATAATCGTATAAATGTAGTGAGAAATGAAAATTGGATATTGTATAAATTGTATATAAAAATTGCACATCTATCAATATAACACAAAAGAGTTGAGAGTGAATTGTAGAAAATTTTGTGGTTAAATGCCACTATTTATAGAAGAAGAAGAGAGGAAAAAAAAATGAAAGGACCGAAATGGTCACTGAAAAAATTATGTGACCGTTAACGATCATAAATTTTTAATAAATAAATAAATAAATTTTCAGGGACCGAAACGGTCACTTTTTACAAAAAGTGACCGTTTCGATCACTTTATAAACGAGCCACGAGCCACTCGCGACGGCCCGCGAGCGGCTGGTTTAATTTGCTAGCACAGCGGGCTCGGCTCGCCCACCGAACCGACTCGCTTGACTCGCGCTCGCACTCGTGTTTTTACGAGCCCAAGCCACCCACGAGCTCCGTTTTCGCGAGCCGACGAGCCGCTCGGTCCATTTGCCGCCCCTATTAGTACATGTTAATCTCTACAATTTGAACTCTCTCTGAATCAAAATGTTCAAATTAGATTGTGGTATAAGTTAATAAATAAAAGCGTTCAATCTTTGTCATTTGAACTTTATACTTTCTTGCATTGTTTACAAACTTAAAGTGGTTTTTAATTTTTAATTTTTTTTTAATATAACGAGACAATTGAACTTAATATACTCGTAACTTGGACTGTGGTGTGCCTTTTTTATTATATATATATATTATTTATTTTTTTTTTTTCATTTTATTTCAACGGATCGAGCTCAATATTTAATTTTTGATGTTTTGATTTTCTCCTCTTTTCGTGATTTTTAATTTTGACTCTTTTGCATCTTGAAGATTTCTTAGTTGAATTTTCTCATTCGCACAAATATTGTCAAATAGTAACACGTTAGGTACATGTATTAAAAGAGCTTATATCATAAATGTGTATGATAAAATGTTATGGGTAGAACTAAAAATGAACTCCATTTGGCAAGTCACATTCCGTGTCCTCTATAATTGGAGTTCGCTTTAGTTTCAAACTTATACGCGCCTTGAAACTCCCAATAAAATAAGTCACCGCTATAAATTTTTAGAGTCTTCTCCTCCCCCTATCATAGGGGGATAGATCCCCTGCATAATTTTTGAAATTTTTAATAGCTATAAAAAATAATAATTCCCACTAGCAATCGGGATTGTGATTCGTTATAGAAAACTAATCTTGAAATTTGCGTACTCATTTTTTGAGTTTTAGTTGGATCAAATTACTTGTTTGAACTTAATAAACTCTAATATCATATTAAGAATTTGAATTCCATCTTAAAAGACCAAATTTATTAAGGGGAGTAGTACAAATCTATATAAATTGGTCTAGAATTTCATCTTTAGTAGATGTGAAATTTTATCCCTTTAACACTCTTTACCCCAAACGTTAATTTGATGACATGGCATAAAAACAAGGAGTAGACGTGAAAAATTATAAATGTGGTCATTAACGTAAATCTTTCCTATTAAATGAAAATAAGTAAGAAACAGCAAACTAATGTTTTAGTAAGTGAAGACTTGTGAATGCTATGTAAATGATTTATATCGATATGAATATAGCAGTAACATGAAACAAAATGACAAAATCTATAATATTACATATCCAGTCCACCAAGTGTAATTTATGTGAAATATAAAGAAACGGAAAAGTAGCACTGGTAAAGAGAGAACAATACCAGTATAATCACCAGGGCCTTTTCAGTCAGCAGCATCATAAAGAACTGTATTGGCTTCTAACTTCTCTGCAAATTTCTCGAGGATTTCCTTCAAGAGAACCATGAATTCATCCTTCTCAGCTTCTGAGTCCCTTTTCTCGCTCTCTATCTCAGTAAATACTTCATCAAAGAGAATTGCTGTTTCATCTACTTTTGAAGGCGGTAAGCCCAAATCCTTCCCACTTTTCTCCAGGAAAACACGAATTATTGATGTGCTTTTTCCTTCCTTCTTGCTATCATTTTTTTCCAGCAATATTTTCTTTAAAACGCCATCCAGTTGCTTTTCATCGGTCAGAAGCTGCATCATCCAATGTAATACCCAAACTATTCACTGTAAATAATGTAAAATACTAACAGCGACTAGATCTAGATTCTCATATTAACGTCTGAATTCATGCCAATGGAATAGGCAAAGTATCAAGAAGTAAAATTATTTGTCCTCTTTAAACCTTAAAATCATTGCGGCAATATCTTTTTTAGTTCATTAATCAAATATGTTACTGAATATTATTAAAATAACTTAATTGAAAAGTGAAAGCACCTGTTTAACAAAACCAACCAAATATATAGAAAACTATGTCCTCAAGCATCACTATAGGAAACACTACCGAGTATGCAAGAAAAAACATGGAATGACTTGCTAGTGATATAAAGTTTAAAAATTTCCAAGTATATTGTAAGAAACATAATTTGCCTTTAAATTGAATGGCTAGCACACAGAAAATAATACTATAAAAATTTACTTGTAAATCAGCAAAAGAGTGCGAACTTGTGAAGTACGAACATCAAAACTTGCACACTAAATATCTAACAACGAACAAGATAGCCAAGAACAATTTCCTAGAAAGGCATGTGTTTAATGTGTCTTTAACTGCTGAAGAAAAACCAGAGGTGATAAATTACCTTTCTAATCTTAGAACCATTCACGATTTTGATGTTCTGTACCATCACAATACGCTTCTTAGCAAGAGCTTCTGCCAGTTCTTGGAGCACAGACTGCAGTAACTGTGCAAATTGTGCCTGCCCCAATTCTTCCTTTCCTTCAGCTCCATGCCTCTTTAAGATATCGCTTAGTTGAGGAAACTCTGTTCGACAACATTATTACCTTAGCATCAATGCCATATGGTTACATCAACTTAAAAAAAAAAAAAAAAAAGTAATGTGTGTGTGTGTGTGTGGATATATGTACGTATATATGTATTATGTGTGTGTGTGTGTATATATATATATATGTATGTATGTATGTGTGTGTACGTGTGTGTGTGTATATATATTTGAGAGAAAGTGAGGGCATGCCTGATAAAGGAGGAATTCCCATTTCTAAACCCATATGAATTAGAGCATTCTGGATCTCATTCTTACTAATCTTTCCTGTATCTTCTGTGTCTAAATCAGTGAAAAGATTCTCTGCTAGCATTGCAAAGTCATCTTCATCTTCCAAAAACATTCGAAGAGTTCTTCCATCAAAAATTGCCACAACAATGGGATCGTCTGAATGCAAAACAGGAACAACACATAGTGTATCAAAATCCAAGCACAGAAAAATGTGGATAAGAGGCAAATAGCTGAAAGAAACAAGTGGAGTGCTTAGGGAAAACTTTATCAAACAACAAAATAATAATAATGACATTATTACAAACATATATTTTTCTGGGCGTTTTTAGATAATTATCTAAATTTATTTACGATGTTATAAAAAATATTTAACTTGAAGAGAGAAGGAAGCAATGGCCTAGATGAGTCTAGAAATAACTGCAGTTGCAAAGAGCGACTGATACCTCATCACCAACACATTCCACAGTCAAAGATGTGTTCTTTTAAGTGCAGTTTATGGTATGGAAATGCACAAAAACATGAGTAGTGTCCATCTACTTAAACTTATTCTCTTGGAAAGGCCTAGACTGTTAAAGCTATAAATTGAACTTACCACCTCTTTATCCAAGATAAATGTGTTCAACGTGTCATTTTCCTATAACTTGCCTCTTCAAGAGGGACCTTTATGTATCGTGGAATTACTGAGTAAAATCTGACAAGAATACTTGTCAACATATTAAGAATGGAAAAATTACCCGGGAGACGTTAATATCTCAATTGAGTGTGACCTGCAATCACATTTTTCTTCAATTTGCTGCTTCAACTTGTTAGATGGTGTGAAAACGAACAGAAGTAGAACCAAGAATACAAAAAGATGCCCACTGTTTCAATGATGCCCCGAGTTCATTTTTTCATGCAAAATGAAGGGGCAGGGCAAACCTGAACCACATAAAAAACTGGTGGGATGACTCTGAAACAAGTTGAAGTTAAGGGGTAAAGTTTCTCAGTGGAGCTGAAGTGGTTTTCAATAAATAAGTCTTACAATACTAAAGTAAAAGGTCTATTAGTACCAGTTAGGAGGACAAATTGATGCAAGAAAGGGATTTAAACAGACCAGGTGATGTGGTCCAAGACAAAGGCATACACGAGAAAGCAGTTTATGAGCTTTAATTAGGATTTCAACCGAAAATGGACAGAAAGAAGTGATTGGTGCAAGGACAAAGTACGTTTCCACTTCCAAGGTGCAAGGATGATTTTCATGGTGAAAAGATGAAGTTTATTTTCCTTTCCGAGTACTGATTAACGTAAATTAATTCATAATTTACGTTGCCTTAATTATGATTACCTTAGCTAGGTGATACAGTGATAGGGGGTACATTATGCCTTATTTAGCCTTTTTATCTTTTAATAAAACTCAAGCTATTGGGATTGTACGGATGATTCAATAAAAAATCAGCTTCCATTGGCAAATTTTCTCCAATTTTTCGTTAAACTCAATGAATTATTCGGTATTCCTTTGCGAATTATTGAGTATTCAATATATCTAAAATCTCGAGTATTCGCAGAATCAATAAGCTTTTGGATTCTTCCGTTTTATTTTGCTCAGCGCTCCATGACCAAGCCTCTAATCAATCCCAAAACTGAGACACTCAGTTTTCTTGAGAAGGAATGAGGCACAATAACATCACACAACTGAACTCCCACAATTTACGTTCCCAATCTCATCTTCCAGAATCCAGATATTGATACTTGTAAGGAATGGAAAATGCAATCAAAGAAGGTTCCTATGCATTATTTTTTTCTGGTCTAATAATGAATTCCATGAAATAGGTCTGATTAGCTAAAAGCACTGGAACAAGTCACTCAACTTCCAAGTCTTCAACTATATATCAAGTTCGGGATATAAAATTTCTTTCACACCACATGTTCGAATATTGCTTAATAGAAACGACGAGTTCTAGAGAATTTTATGCTACTTTATAACTTGAAAAATATCCAAAATAATAATGAAATATGATTTATAAAAAAAAAAAAAAAAAAAAAAAAACACTAATTGCCGACCGAAGCATTTTTCTGCTTTATCCAAAAAATCCTTTGGAAAAGTTGACTTGTTTTTCGCATTTACGAGTATGAATATTCATAATTTGATAAATTTCAACTTCGTCACCTACGATCGTACTTACTTTAGCACAATCTATTATTTATTGATATCAACAAGTTTCCAAGGGGGACAAAAAAATTAATAAATTGATTAATTAAGAAGTCACAACACAACCTTTGAGTTCATCGGCGATCGCGGACACATAAATTTGGAGAATCGACGAGGCGTTGTTATAATCGAACTCCGTGGTGCGAAAGGCAGGGCCATAGGAGACGCCAAGCCGTTGGAAAGCGGCGGACTTAATACTTTCCGGTAATCCGAGGCCGTGAAGAGCGATTGAGGCTCTCGACTCCGCGAGCTCCAGTACCTCCTCGCCGGTGATCACTCCGCCACCTTCTGCCAGCGGCAGCGACAAGTCCAGTGCTCTCAGCTGTGTTCCATCGATAATCGTTAAACCTCCTTCCGACATTTTCAACTTTTAGAGAGAGAGAGAGAGAGAGTTGAATATTTGTATGTAGTGGAATGGGGCAGAAGGTACAACGCGGGGAAAATGAGAAGAAAAGGAAAACCGCGTAGCGCTTAATTGAAGTTTGAGTCTAACGCTGATGTTTTAATAACTACGGAAAAGGGTTGAAGTTTGGAAAATGAGATTTGACCCCATCCAGAATTGGAGAAAGTATGTGTTGACACATTAAAAGTGCAGCTCAAATCGAATAGTTCAAAAAATGAAGTTCAATTGGAGAATTCTCAAATCAAATAGTCCAAAGAATGAAGTCCAATTGAACAATTCAGGATAAATGCCCAGATAAGATTATTAATGAATGCAGTGGAAGCCCACGAATACGGTAACATCATCGCCCAAACTTGCAAGACGCCCAAAATCTGAGCGAATGAAGTGCTTTACAATCGCCCAGAGCTATGATCTTGTTCTCGTCCAAACCTTCAAATCGCCCCAAATCTTAACAAACATAAGATGTTACGGTTATTTAGAAGTGCAGTTATTGAAACAGTTATTGAGTAACCGTATCACGTTCCACGATTCAAGGAGTTTAATGGAAGATGGTTGAACGACAAAGAGTAGTGGCAGCAGTTAGAGACGGCAGTTCCACGACAAGTTAGCCACCATAAAGAAAGTGGGTAGTTATAAAGCAGTCAAACAGTTTCTAAGCGGTTGATCACGAAAAAATCATCAAGGAAATATAAAAAGAAGAGAAGACATAGAGCAAAGGACCCCGAATCAAACACTCTTAAACAGAGAATATGTAATTTCAATTTCTTAGTTTAGATTTAAACATTTCTTTTCAGTACTCGTGTGCTTGTGCCCCTTGGAGGCATTCTGTTTAGTTCCAATTGCAAAGTCATCGCCAATAAAACACCCCTTTTTGGGACTTTGTCTCAAGAGGTTTATTCCTTACACAATCGTCCGATCCCTTTTTAATTGTTAGCGACTACCCGCGCGAAACAATTTGGCACGCCCAGTGGGACATTGGTGTTTGGTGTTGAAGATACAAAAGGTGAAACAATATGCCTCAGAAATCTGATAAGGAAGCAAGTCAGGGAGGAGTCCAGTCTGTGATCGAGGGATATGAGGAGCAGCATAGCTCTCCACGAACAGATGGACAGAATCAGAGCAGTCATAGTCGTTACGAACCAATGACAGAGTTGAGTCCTCGAACTATGAGTGCATTACTTGGAAAACTCACACAGGATGTCGTTGAACAGGTAAATTTACGAAATATTCATAATATGGAAAGATTTACCCAGAATGGGAATGCACATTATGACAACATGGCCAAACAACTGAATACTTTGAATGAAATAATGAATAAGTTAGTAGACCAAATTTGTCAGCTAGTTGTGCCTCTTGCAAATCACTTCCAAGCTAGGACAATTGTGGGACATAATCCCCCAGTCCTAAGTCCAAATCAAGGGGTAGAACCACATTTTGGTCCCTCTACTTCAAACCAGGGGATGGTGTAATGCCAAATCAGAATAGTGGCAATGATACATCTAACTTGGGGGGTAACCTAAACGTAAGAGACAATGTCCTAAATAATGGATAGAATGCCCCACGTGTTAATGATGGAATAAATATTCAGGCCAATGGTAACAATGGCCCAAATCATGGCAACTTTGTTGCCAACCAAGGACCAAATATCAGGCATCAAGCAAATTAACCGGTCAACCAACCTGTAGGAATTCCATATGACCCCAACGTCATGTTGAGGAATCAAATTATGGAAATAGCACAGGATCAGATGGCTTTTGGGGTACGTCCTGTCATTAGGCCGACTTACACAAAGTCATATCCTGATTGGGTAGACCAAGTATATCCATGACCTAGAGGGTATAAAGTGCCAGAATTCTCACTATTTACCGGTTTAGGAGAGGTGTCTACTCTAGAATATATAGGGCAATTCACACTGCAAAGTGGTGACGTAACTGATTACCATAAAATGAGGATGTTCCCTAGTTCATTAACAGGAGTAGCTTTCTCTTAGTTCATCAATTTGCCAGCGAACTCTGTTCAAACATGCCAACAATTGGAGCAATTGTTCCACGCTCAGTTTTATAAGACTGAGTCCGAAATTACTTTGGCCGATTTGACGAATCTACGTCAAATGCCAAACGAATGGTCAGAAGGTTTCCTTCAAAGGTTCAAGACAGCAAGAAGTAAATGTTTTGTACTTTTGCCCAAAAAAAGAGTTTGTTAAAATCGCTCAAGGTTGTCTAAACTTTGATTTGAAAAAGAAGTTCCAAGACAAGGAATTTCCTGATCTTTTTCAATTGAGCGCGAACGTGATTAGGTATGAACGATTAATAAGAGAAGAAGAGTAAATGAAAAATTCTAGCAAGGGGACTTATTATAGAGACCCAAATTTTGGTGTTCATACCATTAATGACGAGTATTGCGATCAAATCGAAATGTGTTTGGCAGAATTAATCAAAGGAGACGCGTATACTTGTCCTATAATGGCTAAGCCTAGACCGTCGGGCAAGGATGAGCCTATAAAAGATGAAAACAAAAAGGCTAGAACGTTCTCGTTCGATGTAACCAATGATGACCTTATATTTGATAAACTATATAAGGATAAATAGATAAAGTTGAGTGATAAACATAAATTGCCAAGCCCTGAACAAGTTAAGGGTAAAAAATATTGTAAGTGGCATAATGCATGGTCATATTTGACTAATAACTGTTTGGTTTTTGGCCATATGTTACAGGATGCTATTGAATCAGGATGAATTACGTTCGAGGATAAGAGGAAGATGGCAGTGGATGAAAACCCTTTTCCACAGCCACTTGGGGTGAACATGGTGACGACTGGTTTCAAAAACAAGTTGCCAAAATTCAAGTTAGTTATAGATGACGGGAAAGAGGACCCTGGACCACATTCCAGTGTCTTTGAATGTATCAAAGGGAAAGAGCCTGAAAAGGATGAAGACGTCCTGTGTGCAAGATGTAAAAGAGAAGTGAGTGGGAACACAAAGAAACCAGGGATATGACAGCATCATCATCGCCCTAGTTTTTTCCCAAACGCTCAGTCTGGTAGAGGGCGAGGTACATCATTCTATAAGGGACCGCCTTTTGAGAGGCAGTTCAGGCCAGTAAATAATGGGAGAACATTCAGGCCGCAGTCTCGCCAACCAAATGTTTGACATTCGTTCCAATATAATGCAGGAAGGGCGATACCCTTCAACGAGATGACTAGAACCCAACAAAGGTGTTTTCAACGGAACTATGGACGGATGATGAGGCAACAACAGGGAATGTCACGTCCTAAAGCGTCTAGACTACTCGAGGTAGCCAATTAAAATGTTTTCAAAGACAGTGAAGAGACTGGTACAGGTAAATAGATGAAAGAATTGCCAGAGACTTCTTCTGGGAGATCGAAGTTTGAGCGAGATAGAAAAGATGGAGAAGATCCAGATCGGCCCCTTACTATTCAGTTCGGTACGTTACCTCTTGTCGTGGCTAATAACTATTTACTAGCCAATGAGTTCAAGAATAAGGAGAAAGAAGAAGGAGAAGAAGAAGAGAGGGAGGATAACGAAAAAAAAGCATGTGTGTTGGAATATGAAGAAGGCCAGACTTCTAGAGGGGCTTATGATGATGAAGGAGATGATGGTATGACGGACATCAAGAAGAAATTGATCTGGAAACTCTGTTGAAGCAACTACATCGAGAGGGGGTTCGTGAAGTGGACTTGTTGGGGGAACCGTCTGGGCATTCTTTCGATTATTACGTGCTGTACGGGACACCCAAAAGGAAAAAGAGAGTTCCTCACTCTGAAAAGTATGGATCACCTCCAAGAATAATGCCTCCTCCCACAGGTTGGGTAACCGAAGAAGAAGCATTAGAAAATAGTAAAAAGGAAATTCAGGAGACGGAAGTTCAGTGCGACATACTACACGTTGACTTATCACAAAAGGATAACTCGACAGAGGATAAGCAGGAAGTGGAAATAGATGCTGCCGAAAAGGTTATTTTTAAGCGACCAGCCATAAAGTTGACTAAACACTTGAGGCCATTGTACGTTAAAGCTTTAGTTAATGACATACCTCTAGCAAAAGTGCTTGTCGATAATGGAGCAACTATAAACACCATTCCATCTAGGATGATGAGGAAATTTGTGAAGACAGAAAATGATATGATCCCAACAGAAGTCATCCTTACAAGTTTCAATGGAGAAGCAACTTCAGCTAAAGGGGTTATGCCATTGGACATAATTATAAGGACAACTACTAGGACCACAGTCTTCTTTGTAATAGATGGTCCTACTAGTTACAATGTGTTATTAGGAAGAGATTGGATACACTGAAGCCGCTGTATACCCTCATCGCTCTATCAATGCCTGATTTTTTGGAATGACACGGGCGAAGCAGAAGTGGTGCAGGCCGATCATAGACCTTTTGTCGCAGAAGCAAACTCAGTGGAAAGGTTCATGTACGAGGGAAATTATGGACCTGTCAGAGTAGTCCAAGATGGAGAAGAAACTCAAATTGTCGCGCAGAGTGAAGAGCCATTTTCGGTGGATACACTTACTGAAATGTTCAATCAGATGAGGCCAAACATAGTGGCCTTAGAAGAGCCAGTAGTTGGCAAAAGAGTAATTAAGGAGTTTTAAATGAGTTGTAAGCAACAAAGGCAAATGGCCGATATTCAGGCCTTCAAAGCCAAATTAATGGCTTTCAATAAAGAATGTAAGGACAAGACGAAAGAAGAAGCAGCCTTGAAAGCATTGAGAGACAAATTGACAGTGTTCTAGTTGGAACAAAGTATTGACCGAGAAGTCAACAAGGTGGATTGTTTAGAAGAAGAGGCGTCTATAAGGGAATTAGACGATGAAGTAATGACGATCACCAAGCCTGGATACGCTCAAGCACAGGACCCTCTGATTAAAGTGAATATTTGCAATGAAGGAGAAGATTGCCCAATATTCATCAGCCAAATGCTCGATCAAGAGGTTAGTGATAAATTAATCGCTTTATTAAAGGAATATAAGGATTGTTTTGCTTAGGAATATGAACATATGCCTGATTTAGATAGAGATTTGGTGGAACATAGATTACCAACCAAG